TTTAGATTCGTTGATGTATTAAACCGTTGGCCACACGACTCGTGAGTGCAGACAAACGGGTTGTCTGTAGTGACAGCTGTTGTCTTATTGTTTCCATCGCCGGTCTCTGTGTTGTCCCTATTGTTGTCTTCATAAGCATCGCCAGTGCTGTCACTCTCCGTGTCATTCAATACATGTGTGTCTTCTGAAGCCTTCTTCCGCTTCTTATGTCTCGTATTTTGTGGTAATCTCTTCACTCGTTTAACACATCTGTTCCTCGTTTTGTGTCCAACACTTGTATTTTCAGTCTTTTCGGTAATAATGTCTTCGGTTTTAATTACAACTCGTTGTCTGTCTTCTGAAGATTTTAACGATTTTTTGTGTTTATGAGTTTCAGTGATAATGACATTGAATTTGTTGTCCAATACTTCCAGTCTTTGGATGTCTTCGAGTGATAAGTGATTCAAGTCTTTCAGAATTGTCTTAAAACTCAATATTTTATTCAAATATATTTGANCAAGTCTTTGAGAATTGTCTTAAAACTCAATATTTTATTCAAATATATTTGAAACTCATTTAAGACATCAAAACATTGATTCAAAAACAATAATTCACTCAAAAGTCGTGTATTTTCTTCACTCAACTCTTGGATCAAATCATTGATCACTAATTCAAACATTTTTACCACAAATTCATTGAACTATTAATAAATGTAATTCAAAATCAATTCAATTGTGAAAAAAGTTTGTTTACAAACGAAAGGCTAATCCATTGAATACGTCGTGTATTGCAGTGAAAGTGCACTCAAATGGATAAAAAGTATGGGGTTTTTAAATAAACTTTTTTGTTAATTAAAATTATACCAATTTTAAATTTAATTAAATAATTATAAATACAATTTAATTAATCACTATAAAAAATATGTATACAAATAAATAACAGATTAAAACATAGGGTAGATTTAAAAACATGTTATTTGCGATGCTTTACTCTCAGGTGTTTACTAAACCAATCATAATTCTTAGTCTTGAAGTCACAGCCGGCGTAATGACAGTGGCGTATAGTCCCGATATGGCTGCGCATATGTCGGCGCAAATACTGGTCTCTCTTAAACCATTTGCCACATTCAGGCCAATCGCACTGTAGGGTCCCCTCCGACTGGTGGACAAACTTATGCTTCTCGAGATACTCCTTATACTTGGAGCGGAACTCACATCCGGGCCAATCGCACGGGTAGTCCACCGAACTGTGCACCACTCGGTGAGAGTCCAGCCCCACCTTATCTTTGGCCCGATAGTCACAACCGGGCCATTCGCAGGGGTGGGGCCGCTCCGTGCTGTGCGACACCATATGCGCGGTGAGCGCGTAGTTAATGTTGGCCTTGTACTGACAGCCGGGCCACTCGCACCGGTAGATCTGTTTGGGGTGCACCTGATACCGGTGCACTTTCAGTTTGCTGGGTGTGTCAAACTGGCGGTCGCACTCAGGGCACAGGTATGGCACGCATCGCTTGTACTGATAGGCGGGCGCTCGCTTCTCGTGCACTCTCCTCACGTGTTTATTCATTTGGGCCGTAATCGGAAACAATTTGTCGCACCCCTGGACTGCGCACGCGATGCTCGGCCGCTCGTGCGATAGTTTCACGTGTGTTCGCACTGCCGACTCGTTTGGGAACCGTTTGCCGCACCCAACGTGTGGGCACAGGTATGGGTTGGCTGTAGCGTTTGGGCGCCGTTTACTGAGTCCAGTGTGCCGTCTGGTATGGGTCTCGAGCCACTGACGGGTGAGAAACGCTTGTCCGCACCCTTTGTAATCGCAAACGTATGGCCGCTGTTGTAAGTGAACCGCTTCTAAGTGTCGGTTGAAATTCATTTCGGTGTTAAACTTTTGGCCACACGACTCGTGAGTGCAGACAAACGGGTAGTAATACGTATCGCTACGTTCGGCGGCCGCCTCTTTGCTGTCACTCATATCGTTGTCATCAGTGGTGTCGCCCTTCGTGTCTTCGGCCACATTCTTCGACACCTTTTCATACGTTATGTTTTTGTGTGATTTATTAACTAATTTCCTATAAGTGGTCCGCTTTTCACTCACTAGTCGACCGCAACTCATACTATCGTCGGAATGAGTCTTCGAGTGTTCATCGAAAAGTTCTTTGTTATCAAATCGCTGTCCGCACTGGAAATGCTTGCACTCGTATGGGTCGCCCGAATGCACTTTCAATCGGTGCTCATTCATCGACCGCTTGGTTTTGTACACTCGTTCACATCCGGGAGCCGTACACACGACAGACCATCTGCGCCCGCGAGACACATACCATCTATGGTTCGCTAATCGAGTCCCAGTTGCGAACCGTTTGCCACAGTTTTCGCATTCATATGGTTTATCACTGGAATGGATGGCTCGGATGTGTTCCGTTAGATGACTTGTGGATTTGAAGGCACGGTCGCATGTCGTGTGTGGACACACGTGTGGCCGTCCCTCACCGCCGCAGATCGCATGTAGTTCGTGAATTCGTAAGCGAGTCTTCGTTGGGAACCGTTCGCCACAGCCTTTACATTCAAAAGGTTTATCACTGTAATGGATGGCTCGAATGTGTTCCGTGAGATGACTT